AATGTTAAAAGACATTCATCAGAAAGAAGGAAAACGATGTAAGTGCAAAACTTGGGTCTATATAAAGAAGAGTGCTAGAGACAGGGAAAAAAAGGTAAAATAAAATCTTTTACTTTTCTTATTCCTAATTGATTTGATAATAGTATTATTCACAACAAGGTATTTGATTATTACAGCTTATGAATAAATGAAATGAATGATAGCAATATTATATGGGACAGGAGGGAGAAACTGGAAACACTGTTATTTATAAGGTAGTTGCACTACCCATGAAGTGGTATGGTGTTATTTGAAAGTATATTAGACTGCAAACGACTGCGAAATCAAGAACTGCTAAAAGGTTTTTTTAAAAGTCTAATTAATATGCTAAGAGAGGAGGAAAAGTTGAAATCACATACAATGTTTAGTTAAAACAGAGAAAACACAAAATGAGTGAGAGACACAAGGAAAAAAGGAAGGCAGGCAGGCAAGCAGGCAACAAATACAAAACAGTAATAGTATGAAAGATATTAATCAAATTATATCAATAAACATGTAAACATCAATGATCTAAAGCACTTAAAAGAGACTGTCAGCTGGGTGCGGTGGCTCGCGCCTTAATCCCAGCATTTCGGGAGGCTGAGGTGGGCGGATCACAAGGGCAAGATATCGAGACCATTCTGGCCAACGTGGTGAAACCCATCACTACTAAAAATACAAAAATTAGCTGGGCGTGCCTGTAATCCCAGCTACTTGGGAGCCTGAGGCAGGAGAATTGCTTGAACCAGGGAGTCTGAGGTTGCAGTGAGCCAAGATGGCGCCACTGCACTCAAGCCTGGCAACAGAGTGAGACTCCATCTAAAAAAAAAAACAACAAAAAAACCCACAAAAAAACCAGACTGTCAGAGTGAATAAAAAAAGATGGAATTATATGTTTTCTACCAGAAACTTACTTTAAATACAAAGATACAGAGAGATTAAAATTAAAGGTATGGAGAAAGACATATCATGCTAACATTAACTAAAAGAAAACTGGAGTAGCTATATTAATTTCAGACAGGGCAGACTTCAGAGCAAGAAAAATTATTGGGAACAAAGAGAAGCATTACATAATGATAAGAGTTAATTTTCTGAGATGATATAACAATCTTAGTGAATGTGTGTTTAACAAAAGAGCATTAAAATATGGGAGGTAAAATCTGACAGAACTGCAAAAAGAGATAGGTTAATCTACTATTATGGTCAAAGGTTTCAACATTCTACTAGTAGTATACGCATAGCTCAGAGATACTGCAGGTTCTGCTCCAGATAACCACAGTAAAGCAAATACTGCAACAAAGTAAGTCACACAACTTTTTTTGTTTCCCTGTGCATATAAAAGTTATGTTTACATGACAAGGCAGTCTACTAAGTAAGCAACTGCAAGGTGTCTAAAAGACGATGTACATATCTTAATTTAAAAATACTTGAAAGGTTAAAATGCTAATGATCAGAGCCTTCAGAGAGTTGAAATCTTTTTGCTAGCATAAGGTCGTGCCTTGATGCTGATGGCTGCTGACCGATCAAGGTGGTGGTTGCTGAAGGCTTGGGTGGCTGTGGCAATTTTTTAAAATAAGACAATAATAAGGTTTGCCACATTGATGGACTCCCCTTTCATGAAAGATTTCTCCATAGCATGCAATGTTGTTTGAGAGCATTTTATCCAAGTGAAACTTCTTGCAAAACTGGAGGGTGTTGATTTTAGATCTTTCCTGTTTTCTCCTGTGGGTATTTGGTGCTATAAATTTCCCTCCAAACACTGCTTTAGCTGTGTCCCAGAGATTCTGGTACATTGTGTCTTTGTTCCCATTGGTTTCAAAGAACTTATTTATTTCTGCCTTAATTTTCTTATTTATTCAGTAGTCATTTAGGAGTAGGTTGTTCAATTTCCATGTAGTTGTATGGTTTTGAGTTTCTTAATCCTGAGTTCTAATTTGATTGCACCGTGGTCTGAGAGACTCTTTGTTATGATTTCCGTTCTTTTGCATTTGCTGAGGAGTGTTTTACTTCCAATTATGTGGTTGATTTTAGAAGAAGTGCTATGCAATGCCGAGAAGAACGTATATTCTGTTGATTTGGGGTGGAGAGTTCTGTAGATGTCTATTAGGTCCACTTGGTCCAAAGCTGAGTTCAAGTCCTAAATATCCTTGTTTATTTTCTGTCTTGTTGATCTGTCTAATATTGACGGTGGCGTGTTAAAGTCTCCCATTATTATTGTGTGGGAGTCTAAGTTTCTGTAGGTCTCTAAGAACTTGTTTTATGAATCTGGGTACTCCTGTATTGGCTGCATATATATTTACGATAGTTAGCTCTTCTTGTTGCATTGATCCCTTTACCATTATGTAATGCCCTTGTCTTTTTTGATCTTTGTTGATTTAACGTCTGTTTCATCAGAGATTAGGATTGCAATACCTGCTTTTTTTGGCTTTACATTTATATGGTAAATCTTCCTCCATCCCTTTATTTCAGCCTATGTGTGTCATTGCACATGAGATGTGTCTCCTGAATACAGCAGACTGGTGGGTCTTGATTCTTTATCCAATTTGCTGGTCTATGTCTTTTAATTGGGACATTTAGCCATTTACATCTAAGGTTAATATTGTTATGTGTGAATTTGATCCCATCATTATAATGCTAGCTGGTTATTTTGCCCATTAGCTGATTATTTATTAAAAAGGCAGTATCTGCACAGGGGAATAAAGTAAAATGCAAAAGTATAGGGTTTGCCTGTATTTCTTCTTCCCTCTCTCCTTTCTTTCTGGAATTACAAACTACATATATATTAAACATTTTCAGTATGTTTCACATATTCTGTTACCTTTTTTTCATTCTTTCTTTTCTATTAGCTTTTGTTTGAATATTTTCTAATAACCTATCTTTAAATTCACTTATTCCCTCTTCTGTTGTGTCTAGTCTTCTATCAGTGAACTAATTTCAGATACTGTATTCTTGACCCTAAATTGTTCATTTGATTATTTTTTATTGATTTTCTAATACTATTTTACATGTCTTTCCTCCCTTCTATTAAAAATACATTAATAAGTTATTTTCAAATCCTTGTGTATAAACGCTAATAAAAGAACCATTTATGGGACTGCCTCTGTTGTTTTTCTCATGCTTAGTGGCCAGATATTCCTGCCTCTCTGTATATCTAGCAATGTGTACCTCTTTTATCCCTCTACTTGTTATACCGAGAGTGCTAACCTGCTGTGACTTACTACTTCTTTCTTGGAAGCGGAATTCCTCCCCTATTTCTGGGATTCTTTTTAACCTACATTATAGGAATATTGAACTACCATTGTTTTTCCTTATTAAGAGGCTGCTTGGATGTTGCATATTATTGGGTAATTCTTTGCTTTATTTCATTTTTATCCTCAAAAGAGTACAGTAGCACCTTACCTGCTCAAAAGTCATACAACCATTGCAACTGTTAAGAATAATGAACAAGATGATCCTCTGAAATGCCAACATCAATGGCACAAAACCAGCAAATTTTTACTCACACCAGTTTTTAAGAATAAGTATACACATACATACACATATCCCATCACCCTGTGTTGTAGTAGTTAGAACACAGAATTTGACGATAGAACACGTGGCCTAAACCTCATCTGTCATTTGCTAGCAGAGAGACCTTAGATACAACACTTATTTACTCTGAGTCTTACTTTTCGATTCAAAAGCTGTTGAAAGATAAAACAGTATATTTTAAATTCATAAACTTGTTAAGACAAAACAGTGTATTTTAAAGACCTTTGTAAACTGTAAGCATGTTATAAGTGCCTTATTATATAGTTTTTAAATCTATAGATCAAAAGCCATAAATTAAACAAACATGGACATAACAGTGTAACAGATACATGGACAATAAACTGACAACAGAATAACATCAAGAAAAGAGTAAAAAACTATTTTAAAAGTACAATAAGAACCCAGGTAAACTACTTAACATAAACTTAAACAGTTTCTACTAATTTCAACAGACCCTGGAGCTATTACTTTAACACAGCAGGAATTAATGTTTATGACAAGTCTGAATCTGAAATAATACCCTGTATATTATTTTTAAAATATAAAAATATCTAATGAACATTGGAAAGGCTATAGTAAAAAATGACTAAAATAAAAATTCCAGTTGGATGATCTGCAAGTGGATTAGTTTCTGCTTAAGGACCTTTATACCATGTGATTTTAGCATGAGTAAATATGTAAATAAAATGAAGAATCTGTATCATTGCCCGGGCCTGGTGGCTCATTTGAGGTCAAGTTCGAGACCAGCCTGGCCAACAGGGTGAAACCCCTCCTCTACTAAAAATACAAAAATTAGCCAGGAGCGGTGGCACACGCCTGTAGTCCCAGCTACTTGGGAGGCTGAGGCAGAAGAATCACTTGAACTCAGAAGGCAGAGGTTGCAGTGAGCCGAGATTGTGCCAGTGCACTCCAGCCTGGGTGACAAAGTGAGACTTCCTCTCAAAAAAAAAAAAAAAAAAAGAATCTGCATCATTAACTCACTCTCACTAGTAGAAAACCTGGTAAAAGGTATTTTTCAGAGGTCTTGGAAGATAACAAGTAATAGACTGTGGCTAAGAAAAAATCACAGAAGAGAGTGAAATCAACATTCTCATAGCGCAAAAACTAAAAGGAACAAGATGGCTCTACAAAGAAAAGGTCAAAGAAGGCAAGTGGCATAGATTCTTGAAAGCAAGAGTCATTTGGGGGAACTCTAAAGAAGTGTATAGCAGGTTTGTAAAATAGGTAATACATTAAGCTTTAGTATATAATAATTATTTAATAAAAATGGTTGTAAAGTATATTTATCAATGAGTTAAAGAGATTACTCCATAGTTGACTAGGGAAACAGGCTTAAAATATCAGGCTTATGCAACAAACAACAAAATTTCAAAAAAGCACTAGATAAAGGAAGTCAATAACTTAAATGAAAAGTAGGTACACGGTGTAATGTAAAAAAAGAAAATCAGTACCTTGCCATTGTTGAAAATGGAAATAGAATCAGGATCTTTTTCACAGGTCCTGTTAAAACACAACTGTGCAGGTATGATTTCTCTAAACCTTAAAGGCATTATGCCAAAACTAAGAGTCATTTCATGAGTCATTTCATCCTGTATTTAAAGTCAGAACAGAAAAGAGAAAAATGGCCTAATTTTTGCATATATTAAGAATTCATTATGTGCTAAGTGTTTTTATTTGCTAACTAAACCTAATGTATATCAACCAAATTCTAAAACAGTAATATCTGAAAATATCTCTGTAAAAACCATTTCCAAAATAATTCAGTAATCTTATGAATAAATCTATTTACCTTGGCAAGTGATTTTACAATAGGATTCTCCATAATTCCCTTGAGGAAAATTAGGTCTATTTCTTCTGCTCCAGTAGATGAGGGCAGCTCTGTAAGGTTTTCCAAGACTTGCTGCATTGCTGCTGAGATAAAAGCAACATAAAAAAACACAAAAAATGTAAATTTCAAGCCGTTGTGAAGTAAAATTATTTTAATAATGCAAATAGACATTAAGAATACTCTTTTCAAAAATAATATTTTAAAAAATGAAATTGTTAAACAGTATGAGTTTCAAATTGACTTCCCAGGAATTAAAAGCAGGATAGATTTTTATATGCAATTTAGACTTTATCAGACTACCTTATACACACTTACAACTTTGCACTTGCTTTATATTTTTCAAATTTAAAAACATTACTCGAGAAAAAAAATAGAAAATTCAAATAGACTTATAAGAAGGAGAAAGTCTAATTTAGGAATCAGAAACTTCCTGCAAGCTCAGAACCAGCTTTTGTTGAATTCTATCAATTAATTAAAAAAGAATTAAAACCAATACTTCACAAACTCCTTCAAAAAAAAAAAAAGAGAAGAAAAAGAAACACTTTCCAACTCATTCTATGAGACCAATCACCCTGATACTAAACCCAACAACATTACACACAAAAAAATTACCGCCAATCTCTCCTAGAAATACAAATGCAAAAATCTTAAACAAAATACTGGCAAACTGAATCCAGCGACATATACAAACAATTGTACATAATGGCCAAGTTCACTTTATCCCAGAAATGCAAGAGTGGTTCAACATATAAAAACTCAATCAATATACTCTATTAATAGAACAAAGAACAAAACCAAATGACATTTCAGACAAAGAAAATCATTAGATAAAACCCAAAACCCTTTCATAATAAAAACATTCACCAAACTAAAAATAGAAGGGAAATTCTTCACTCTGATAAAAGTCTTCTCTATGAAAAACCCACAGCTAGCATCATACTTAATGGTGCTTTTACTCCTAATAAGGAATAAAATAAGGCTGTACACTTTTGGCATTTTTATTCAACTTTGTATTGGAGGTTCTAGACAGGGCTGTTAAGCAAAAAAAGAAAAGAAAAAGAAAATAAAAGGCATCCAGACTGGAAAGCAATAAGTAAAACAATTTATATTTGCAGATCATATTATTTTGTATATGGAAAATCCTAATATACAAAAATTTATTATCACTAGTAAGTGCGTTCACCAAGGTTTCAATATACAAGATTAATACAAAACAATCAATATGTTGTTACACATAGTGTATTTCTATACACTAGTGACAAACCATCCAAAAATGAAATTAAGAAAACCATTCCTTTTATAGTAGCATCAAAACCAATAAAATACTGAGAAATAGATGTAACAGTAGTAGTACAAAATTTGTACAATGAAACTATAAAACATCATTGAAAGAAGACCTAAATAAAGGGAATGACATCCCATGTTCACGGATCAGAGGACTTATTATTAAAATGGCAACAGTTCCCAAATTAACCTACAGGTTTAATACACTCCCTATCAAAATCTCAACTGCCTTTTCTTTTTTTTGTAGAAATTGACAAGTTCATTCCATTCATATGGAAACTCGAAAAAACCCAGAATACCCAAAAGAGTCTTCAAAAAGAACAACAAAGTTGGAGACCCCACACTTCTCAATTTCAAAACTTACTAAAAAGCTACAGTAATCAAGACTGTGTGGAACTAGCATATAGACAGACACACAACTAAACAAGAGGCTAGAAACAAATCCATAAATTTATGGTCAATTGATTCTGACAATGTGCCAAGACAATGCAATAAAGAAAAAACAGTCTTTTCAACAACTGGTGCTGGGACAACATATATACACGTAAGAGAGTGATGCTAGACCCCTCCTATTATAATCTTAATTTTATTAGTTTTACCTCTTTTTGATGTTTCTTAGAATAAATCAACAATAAATACAGAAGTCGTTTTTAATATTAACTTTTATTTTTATTAAAATAAAATACAAACACTGTTAAAAGTCAGATTGTACTACTAAATGGCTTATAAATACAGTTTTCTGTTCCATGCTACTCACCCTTCTCCCAACTTATCCTACTCCCAGAAGTAATTTTACTAGGAACTTAATTGTTTCTTCTAATCAGATCTGTTCGTAGTTTCTCTTCTTTCTGGATAATATGCTAATATTGCTACTTTGTGATCGACTCATTTTGGACATTATCTGTTTTCTGTTAGAATACTAGAGGTTTCAGCTTTTACCTTCTCTATCTTCAGATTCTCAATTTTTAAAAATAAAATCAATATTGTTTTTCATATGGAACTCTTAAGTTTTTTCCAAATGTTCCAACAAGCTTCTCACATTTTTACCAGTATTTTTCTAAATGTTCAAATCTTTTTCTAATACTCTATCAGACCTATTTCCTGTCTTCTATCCCTGATTTCCCTCACAAAGCATTCTTCTCTTGTATGTTAACTTGGACAGGTTCATCTATGGGTGTTTCATGGATTACTGACAATTTTTGAAGGTAAAGAGGCGAACAAGAGGACAATGAGCACTTGACAAAGGAGAAGGAAAACAAGTATTGGACTAAGATGAAGAAAGATGACATAAGAAATAAAGAATATAAACTACACCTACTTTGTAATTTTGCTTAAAGTCAACAGGTTACCTTTAAGTGGGCAGGGAACAATAGAATCAAATTTTAAAAGTACTTTTGTCTTGTGGCTATAAATGTGGTTAGCAGTACTTCTCATTACTTATTTTTCTTTCTTTTGACATTGTACATTTGTCTTTATTTTTAACTTTTATTATGGAAAACTTCAAACATATATGAAGAAAACAGAATATAATAAACCACACAATGATCAGTGCCAACAATTAGCAACTCATGGTCAACCTTGTTTCATACTCCTATATACTTTCTACCTTATATAACTTTCAAGCAAATTCCAGAAATCCTATTTCAATGTATATGTCTCAAAGATCAGCACTCTTTTTAAACAACATAACCTAAATACTCAACAGTATCAAATTAGCAATACCTAACAAATTAACAGTAATTCCTTAATGTTATCAAATGTTTAGTCAGTGTTCATAACTCCAGTTGTACTGAAGATGTTTTTTAAATGTACCTTCTATATTGATTCTTGAGGTGCTTGCCTTTTTTTTTTTTTAATTGGTGTTTAAGTCAGTAGAAAAGTGATAGAAATTGTGAAATAGATCTTTGGTTATTTTAAAGATCTTCCTAAGTTGTTACTGATTCTTAATCATATGGAATTTAATCTAGAAATGGATAAACTTGACAACATCCCTTGTCCTGGAAATCTCCAATATTATAATGCTGTCAATCATTCTCAAATTAGTTTGTATATTTGGTAGATTGATAGTCACAATACAATACATAGTTCTTTTTAACTACATTATCCTAAAAGCATATGAAACAATAAAGAAAAACCATGTGAGAAAATTATAACAAATAATGAGAGATGGGCCTAATCCCAATTTAGTAAACGTGATTCTGCAGAGTCCCTCACCAAAATTATGAACAGTGGAATTTGAGCTGGTACCTTCTCACAGAAATCTCTCCTGCTGTTTCTCTGCTTAAAATATGAATAGCTGTCCTTTGGTACCAAAGTCCTTTCTTCCCCAAACTTCAAATAATGTACCTTCATGATTTTTTTTAAAGTAGCAAAATGATTTAGTCCTATAAAATATTAAAACATTAATCTATAATGATTATTCAGCTATCGATAAACACTAGACAACTCTAGCATATGTAAATACTTAATATATAAAATAAGAGGCTCTCTGGAATGGGAGGCTTACAAAGTTAAGACAGGAGCCAGAAAAACAGGGAAGTTTTTCCCATTTACTTAGAGATCGCAGGAAGAAAGGAGAGTCTAAACTCAACAGGTAAGTCACTTACAAAGTTCCACTCCTTCTCAATAATCTCTAGAGGAGATAAATATTTTAATCAGACCCTAGATTCAATAACACATAAATGGGATTCTTTTTTTTTTGTTGAGAGGGAGTCTCGCTCTGTCGCCCAGGCTGGAGTGCAGTGGTGCGATCTTGGCTCATTGCAAGTTCCGCCTTCTGGGTTCACGCCATTCTCCTGCCTCAGCCACCTGAGTAGCTAGGACTACAGGCGCCCGCCACCACACCCGGCTTATTTTTTCTATTTTTAGTAGAGACGGGGTTTCACCGTGTTAGCCAGCATGGTCTCCATCTCCTGACCTCCTGATCCGCTCGCCTTGGCCTCCCAAAGTGCTGGGATTATGGGCGTGAGCCACCGCGCCCGGCCATAAATGGGATTCTCACATGGGCTAGAGAAAAATTAACAGATTTAATCTAGACTCTTCAGTTACAAATATGAATAAAACCATGAATCATCAATCACTTACGAAAACTAGCAGCATGTATTAGACTAACCAAATTCAACAAACAAAAGCATGAACCTCCAGAGAAACAGAATTACCAGGAAATAAAAAGAGAGGGAAAAACAAAAACAAGATTAAATTGTGATATGCAGAAAGATCAAGCTGAAGAATACTCCCATGAAAAAAGGGCGAAGAGCGGCAAAGTATGAGTAAACTGTTATGGATCATGAAAGACCAAAATTTACAAGGTAATCAAATCCAGAAATGAATTAATAAAAGGAAAAGCAAAAGTCATTCAATCAAAAGAGACACATTCAATCAGTAAGTCAATAAATAGCTGGCTTTTTCGAATGACCAATTAAAATAGACAAACACTCAGCTAGTTTAACCAAGAAAAGACAAGACACGAAGAGTGATGTCAGTAAGATGGCTGACTATAAGTGTCTGGTGCACATTCCTCCGCTTCAAGAAAGGACCAAGGCAATAAACAAACACCTAAGAGTTGACTGTAGTGTTTAAGGGAGAGTGCTGAAGTACAGTAGGGAAGTGGAGAGATACCTGTGATGATTGGAAGCCCACAAGGCCAGTGCAGAGGCATCCTGCCTCTGCCATCCCATCCCCCAAACATAGAATGGCCCTCAATCAGGAAGGACTTCTTGCGGGGTTGGGGGCTTGGGTAGGGGAGGAAGGTAATCAGAGGAACCTCAGCAGCCTCCACTCCCACTGCAAACACA